GGATGTGCGTGAAGACGCCGATCATAACGCAGAACCTGAACGGTCCGTGTCCTCTGCTCGCGATCATCAATGTCCTCATCCTTAAGCGCAGAATACAATTGCCGTCAATGATGGACGTGATCACCGATGACCAGCTCATGGAGTATTTGGGCGATTGTATCCTCAATAGTGTTCCTAAGGTTTGTCTCATTTGTGTCAGTGATATGTTGTACTCATATGTCAAATGGTGTGCCATTTACCAGAATATTCCCGAAGGAGTTCAACTCAATTACGAGCAGAACTTTATGGACGCGATGCAGATATTACCCAAACTTCCAAAAGGTCTCGATGTGAACGTCCGGTTCACCGGGTATGACATCCTATCACTCGATGGCATCCATTGCTGTCATGTATTCATTTGAATATTGATTGGTGTTTAGTGTCTCTGACTTTGAATATACGCCCGAATGTATTGTCTTTGATTTGCTTCACATTCCTCTATACCACGGATGGCTCGTCGACCCCAGCGACCGACCAGTCAAGGCTGCTGGATGAGCGTGAAGACGCCGATCATCACGCAGAACCTGAACGGTCCGTGTCCTCTGCTCGCGATCATCAATGTCCTCATCCTTAAGCGCAGAATACAATTGCCGTCAATGATGGACGTGATCACCGACGACCAGCTCATGGAGTATTTGGGCGATTGTATCCTCAATAGTGTTCCTAAGGTTTGTCTCATTTGTGTTACAGTCAGTCAGTGATATGTTGTACTCATGTGTCAAATGGTGTGCCATTTACCAGAATATTCCCGAAGGAGTTCAACTCAATTACGAGCAGAACTTTATGGACGCGATGCAGATATTACCCAAACTTCCAAAAGGTCTCGACGTGAACGTCAGGTTTACGGGGTATGACATCCTATCACTCGATGGCATCCATTGCTGTCATGTATTCATTTCAATATTGATTGGTGTTTAGTGTCTCTGACTTTGAATATACGCCCGAATGTATTGTCTTTGATTTGCTTCACATTCCTCTATACCACGGATGGCTCGTCGACCCCAGCGACCGACCAGTCAAGGCTGCCGTTGGCAACTGTAGTTATAATCAATTAGTCGACAAAATTATTAATAATAAGACTTCAATCCAATCACAACTTATAACTGATGGTTAGACACACTTTTTCAAATCATTTAACCATATATTCTAATTAATTAATCACTTGTTTAGCACTAATTGCTGAAGAATTCTTAGAGAAGAGTGCTTCACAACTGACTTATTATGGTCTCCAAGAATTGGTGAATCACCTCAAAGAACAAGAATTATGTGTTTTATTTAGAAATAATCATTTTATAGTTTTATATAAACATAAGGTATGCCTGAATGGCGTTGTGTCCAATCGGTACTAAGATTGTAATAATTGGTGTTTATTTCAGAACCAATTGTATCAACTGGTGACAGACCAGGGATTCATTAGCGAGAATAACGTCGTTTGGGAGACACTGAACAACATTGAAGGGGACACTCAGTTCGTTGACGGAGACTTCGTTTTAGTTCCTCCAAAACCAGCGCTCACTTCAGCGCCCGTTTCTCAGCAACAAATAGATCAGGAGTTAGTGATCATGTGATCATTCATCCCATAGTTAATGCTTTTTCTAATTGTTTAATGTTTTCATTTTAACAGCTATTTAGTGGCTCTTAGTCTACAAGAGGAGCAAAAGCGCCAAATGGAGAGTTGCAAAGAGTGGGAAACGTTTAAACACGACTCAGGGATGGAAGGGCTCACCGATGAAGAGTTGGCCAAACGATTGCAAGAAGAAGAAGACAAACGATTCGCTCTCCAGAGACAAAACGAAGAACAACAGCAACAACAACAACAACAGCCATCACCACATGCGCCACAACCGGCACACATCAGGGTTGGCGGCGGAGTGGTTCACCCCAACACTCCTCCCAACCCTCACCACAGAAGAGGCACTAATGGTAGCTCTGAAGACAGTGAGAATGACGGCTCAAATAAGGGTAAAAGCAAAAACGTATGTATTATTAACGATTATTTACTCCAATTAGAAAACTCATGCGTTTGGGTTTGCTTTTAGTGTACTATTATGTGAAAAGGGGTGACCTGTGGGACGACATTCCGGACATTTTGTGAAGAGCTTTTGGTGATACTGAAGACTGAGAACCACTGCCTGAGTGTATGCATTCATTTGGTACACTGTTTTAAGTCAATACATCTATCAAATCAATACAATTGTAAAAATTAGGGGAACAGTAGTTAGGACTGATGTAAATAGCGATTATTTAAATTGTAAGTGACGAGACATACGAGCAGATAATGCGTGCCTTTTGGGACTTATGTATAGTTTTAATTGTGCCTCAAATCAGGTTTTAATTGGACTTTTTCATTGAATTTCTCAGAGTTTATTACTAATTATAGAAATCATACATTACTTCTATTACTCCTTATTTTGAGAATTTTTAAGCAAAAATTTATATAATAATGGTTTTCAAACTGTTTTATTAATCTTTATATATATTATATATATAATTATAACTTAATTATAATTCAATGAATAAGCGCTTCAGATAATGATTTAGTATAAATACATTAATACTTCCGTTAATCACGTAATAAGTAAATTAATACATTTTAAATTCAATTACTATTTGTTAATCACTGCTCGCGAAGTGACTTCTCATTTACATTCAAGTTATCCGACTGTGTATTAGAAGCGACTGCCGCCTGAAGTGGACGGGCTATCAGTACAACAATTATTGTATCATTAATTGAAATGAGTTTTAATAAATAAATACTAATTAGTAATTTATAGCGAAAATTGTCACTAACTTTGACACAATCCGTCGTAAAACGTGATGTCATCCAAAGCGAAGCCACCGTCAGAGGCCTCGCCTTCGAATTGGATCTGTTTGTGGGTTTGGGTATGAGTTCAGTGATTAGCCAATGTTTGGCTGTCTGTCTCTATTCACTTACCCTATAAGGTGTTTCCGAGTTAATGGCTAACTGTCCGTATATCCATTCTGGTCGACTCGTGTCGAACCTTCTCGTAGACATTCTCCATAATAAGCTCTTTGTTTCAATAGTCAATGCATTTGGTCCTCCATTGCCCTTCTTGTCTGTCTCTTCAGGAGGCGGATTGCCCTCTGCGTCTCCCTGTGTCACCATTGATACACTCATTAGAGTCGTTTCCCCTCTGTTTTAGTTTAGGAAACAATAGTTTGAGTGGTTTTGTAAGGACTTATAGTAAGCATTATATATACCTTCCGAAGGGAGTGAACCAAAAACTGAGACATTTTGGAGTATTTCCTTCTCCTCCCGGAAATTCAGTAGTAATTTATAGCGAAAATTGTCACTAACTTTGACACAATCCGTCGTAAAACGTGATGTCATCCAAAGCGAAGCCACCGTCAGAGGCCTCGCCTTCGAATTGGATCTGTTTGTGGGTTTGGGTATGAATTCAGTGATTGGCCACTGTCTGTCTGTCTGTCTCTATTCACTTACCCTGTAAGGTGTTTCCGAGTTAATGGCTAACTGTCCGTATATCCATTCTGGTCGACTCGTGTCGAACCTTCTCGTAGACATTCTCCATAATAAGCTCTTTGTTTCAATAGTCAATGCATTTGGCCCTCCATTGCCCTTCTTGTCTGTCTCTTCAGGAGGCGGATTGCCCTCTGCGTCTCCCTGTGTCACCATTGATACACTCATTAGAGTCGTTTCCCCTCTGTTTAAGTTTAGGAAACAATAGTTTGAGTGGTTTTGTAAGGACTTATAGTAAGCATTATATATACCTTCCGAAGGGAGTGAACCAAAAACTGAGACATTTTGGAGTATTTCCTTCTCCTCCCGGAAATTCAGGCGATCGTAGGACCGGATATTGCATTGAGTTCTGATTAAATACATCGAAAAATAGATATCCAGCTATATTTGAAACACAATTAAACTATTAGTTTATTATGATTTTAATGATGTGGTGATGACTGACTGGGAGCTCGGAATGTGTGGTCCTGCAGATTAGCGGGTCTACTGGTAGGTGTGGCCAACTTCCAGGTCAAAGACTCTTTCGATGAAACCGATAATCTGTTGAGAGATTGTCTTTTGTTGGAAATAAGGGCCGCTTTTGAGGGTTGGGACGAGAATTGGGTCACTTCAGGTCCCGGACCCGTTCCCGATTGGTTCCGATAGCCGCAGAGGTCTCTCTCGAAAGAGCACTCACCCATCACTGCGGCCGCCTTTGTTGGTTGTGCTGAGGGACAGATATTCTCGATATATACACACATTTTCTAACTACTTTATAAACTACATACGGGCGCAGTTGCCATCGAAAAAACTGATGTCATCGATAGCTATCGTTCCAACCTTTCAATTACATTCAATTAGATTCCAATTATAAGTGAAATCGAGAGCAATCTACCCGTCCATCGCCCCAAATGCCTTCAATTAATATCTGATACGTTTGAAGCGGAGGTTTCTTTTCGAGTCCGAGTGCCAGCGGAACCTTTGCTGGTCTCCAGCCCTATGTTTCACGCAATAAGATATAGATTACATGAATATTCTGATAGATAAACTAATAAACCAATTGGTTATTTATATTGAAACTACCTGTGCCTGATGATTGTTTAGACGCCACACTAAATTCAATTGTTCTCCATTATCGCTAAGAGTTTTAATATAAACCCTAAGACTGCCGAGACTGGGACCAGCCGGGTCTATAGTGCGCTCAAACATGTAGTAATAAAAAGACAGGCATTTAGGTGTTGTGGTCTGTGGTGTAAATTCTGGACTTAAAAGCCAGGCTCTTGTCCCACCCCTTTGGGGCTGAAGGGCATCACCGCTAAGATTAATGAAATAACCTGAAAGTATTTATTGGTTTTATTTTAAAGTTTTAAATTTTCATATAAAAGTAGCCAACCCTCTGGTGTTTTCTTGGTGTGGTCATATTTAGGACCCGTTCCCCCAAAGCTGTATTGTCTGAGCCAATCGAAGTCATCGACACGACTGTGTGGCAGAGGGTTGTGCCACAAACACATGTTCTCCTCGAAAGTACAGTCACCACTACCTCTCGATGCAGTTTGCGGCGATACTGCATGAGGTTTACGCATTTAAGTTAGATAGTGAAAGTGCAAGTTTATGGACAGACATACTGGGACAGGTGCCCACTTGAAACGATAAGTTGTCGATTGCAATGTTTCCCAATGAGTTTTGACCAACAATTCCTTCGATAACGACCTAAGAATTTAGAAATTCTTTATAGAATATTCATTTATAGATTAAATTAAAAGTTTATCACATGATATGCCTGAGCGGGAGATGAGACTGGCACCTGACCCAAGTACCAATTATTCCCGGCCTCTCCTTTCATTTCCCATAATATCTTTTCAGGCCTTTCCTCATCGCCTGTATATCTAAGTCTAACCCTTAAGGTTCCGATTCCGTTGCCATACATATGAGTCGCGAATTTCATACACAATGGATTGCTTTCCTCTGAAACAAAGTTAATTTTGAAGTATTATTTAGGATTTAGTTTTATTAAACACTGAATACCTGTTGGGTTCATAAGAGGACTGACAAGCATTGCTCTGTCACCGGGTCTTCGGGGAAAGGATGACTCGATGTACACAAATCCTCCCGACTGTTCATTTTGACCAAAACTTGTGAAATCACGTGACGGACCCGTAAATATGTTTTGAGAGCCTTTATTTGAGTCAAGATTATGTGATATTAATATAACCAAAATAATACAATAATTGTTTGCATTAAACCTCTGCCGAGAGTCCAATCAAATTCATCGTTTTCCTCCTGATTAGTCCAACTGCAAAGACCCCCTTCGAAAGTGCAGTGACCTATAGGTTATACATTTGATTCATTCATTCATTTGTTAAAATTTACATTATATTTATATATTCATTAATTTGCAAACCTTTGCACTGTTCCTCTGCTTCATCAATGGGCTGGAACTGGACGTCATCGACGGCCACATATCCTCTGTAGGCCCGATCGGCGTCGTCTAATTTCTTGGCTAATGCTTTCAAAATAATCTATGAAAAGAGTTATTATAAGTTATACTACTTTTAATTACATTAACTGTATTACATTAATTTTATTAAGAATTTGAATACCTTATGCACAGAACCATAAGTATAGGCGACTTCACCCCTAACCCACGTCCCCTCCATTCCTTCACTGCTCTGCCAAATAGTGCGATCCATATCTGTCTCAACATCTCTCAAATGAATCTGAAGATTGTCTGCACTCAAGCCGTCGATTGCATAGAAAAAACTCAAACTAAGGAGTATTGTAAGATATTGCTGTAATACAGTATACAGTATGGCATGACGTTGTCGAAAATTAGTACTACACTTACCACAAGCCATTGGGGCCGGTGTCAGAAATGTTAGGTCCCTGGAAATAAGCTGATGTCGGCACTGGAAGCTCAGTATTTGATTCGGATGTCATCGGATGGAAAACCGGGAATTTGTTGAGAAGCGGTCGAAGTAATGCATTACCCGATGAGAGTCTTGTGTTTAAAGTGGAGCCAAGACTTGAAGTGTTGGATGAACTCAAAGAGTCNAAAATTTGATGTTCAAAACAAGAATAAGTAAAAAAGGGTATGTTATGTCACAATATGAGTGCAAATATAGTACAATATAGTATAGTAAAGTAGTCTATTACTAATAACTCATGAAATTTGTCTACACCTAAAGGGAAGAGTTAAAAGGATTTGTTTTGTTCCAAATGTCCAAAAGTTGGTCATCTCCTAAGAGATTACCATAAATATAGCCCTAATAGACATCAATTATTGTTACTTTTTATGCATCGCTTCAAATGTATGGCTTATATGCAAATCAACACAATTAATATATAGTTTACCACATATTACATAACATAAAAGGACAGTAACTTATCGCAGGAAAGGGATCACAATTGTGTAACTATGGGAGCACTACGGGTGACATACTTTCCATTGGTCTCCAATTATCACAGAATTCGCACTGAAATTGAAAATTCTGTGAAATTCTATACCAAATATATTCTTAAGTCACTTTTGTGTGTGTTTATGAAAAAAATAGTCTTTAAAATTCTTGTTTACGTATAGCAAACAAGTTATGAACTTGTAATTACCTTTCAAATCACGTTTCTTGAAATATTATATAATGCTATAAAAGTTTGGACGAATCTTTCAATTAATTATTTGAGTGACACTATAATCGCCTCTAATATGAAATCAAGTTTATAAACATTTACTTTCAACACCTAAACAACATCTTAAAATTTACATCAAATTTTTAATAAAAATGTTTTAAAATAAAGTATTAATATATAAATCTGTACTGAACATGAATTTCTCAAAGTTTGATCTAATACTATTTTTGACAATTATTATAAATCAATACTTTTGTGTGGCTTACATTCAATATATTAATTCAACAGAAAGTTTATTACAAAAGGATTTACAAAATAGATTCAAAAGACAGGAAGAAGAAGGTTTGCAACAATTTTTTTATTAATATCTATCCCACGAATAGCAGTGTATTTTGTGTTTAGGTCAAGAGGTGGCCCGAGCCCTCATTTGTGATTTTGGATCGGGTTCTCTATTACAGACGTGCGGTTGGATTGTCCCTCCGGACAGTCACCCAAAGCTTAGATGGAGGACAGGTCAGGGCGCTCAGGCCTACTGGATGGGAGGTCCTCGCAATGACCACACATTAGCCGATACAAGTGGTAAAAGTTTCTAGAATTAATATCTTATAAAGTTCTAAACAATATCTATTCAAAAGGCGGTTATATATACTTTGAAACATCACACCAACCCATTCCCAGCACCAGTCCATCGCTAATGAGTGACTCTTTGAGTTCATCCAACACTTCAAGTCTTGGCTCCACTTTAAACA